ACAGCCGCTTTTGGCTGGCACGGGTTTTTCAGTGATCATATGTTGGTTCGGGGGACCTGTAGCAATGGGGTTTATCGACCCCCTCCCACATCCACCTCCCTTGAAATGAGGCGTACATTACGAGGGAAGCAAAAATTTGAATCCCTTTTTATGTTATTCAGCATCGATGATGTTACTTGATAAAAAACTTTCGCGGTTTAAATGCTGCTTGGTTGGTATTTTAGGGTGATCATTTTGAGATTGACACTATAAATCTTGCATCTTGAGATTGAGTTATTATTGAATTTATGTAGACTCCCTATTAGGGGTCGAGATCAGATGAAATGGATCGTAATTACCACTTTCGGAAGAAAAAAAAAATCAATTTTTTTCGGAAGTTAAAAACTAATTCCAATTCTTTTCCGAAAACTTTTCTGTAAAAATTGAAAGCCAAAATCTCGGAAAAATTTGTTCCAAATCAGAAATTTTTGAATCGAAATCGGTGGAATCCGTAATATCCATTTTTTTGTTCACCTATAATATAAAATACACAAGTCCGAAAAACTCGTAATTTTTAAACATATTTTCGGAGATTAAAATTAGATCTGTATTCGGAATCTAATATGTATTCCATCAACGAGACAAATGACTTCAAGAATTCGATTTCAAAGACATGCAGTATTTGCATATGCAACAAATAATTCAATAAAAAGTTATAAATATTGCTATTCGGGACCTTTTCCCGAGCCTGCAAGACTTTCATCTCCAACGACAGAGGTAAAATTACGCCTCTCGTCGGAAGTTGCAGTGACAACTGGAATCCACACATCGGCCGTATTGCTTAAAAGGGTCCTCACTTGTGGGTCCTCTGCCATCGTTGACGATATTAACTCGTCCACGTCATCGAGTTTTGCTGACAATTTGTCCAATTCTTTTGCTATCTCCATCTAATTATAGAAAACAATATTGTTTAGTTAAAGAAAGATTCATTTTTAGCTTTTAAATACGAGTATATGGGATGTAATTGAACTTCTTGAAATATTACCTCGTTCATATGCTGAGCGGATTTGGAGGGAAGTTTCCGGACCTCCATTCCGAGGGTTTCAATCTTGGCACGCAACTCCACTTCTTCTTGATTGGTTAGTGATTCCACCTGTAAAACAATATACTTATAAGAGATGGGGAACGACTTTTTTCGGAGTGATCTTAAAGCTCTAAATTCTGTTGCTGATTAGAAACAAATGACGGCAATGTTATATCGACAACCCTGCTCAAAATCACCCAATAAAGGACTTAAATATGGTCATCAAAACGCGTTGTTTACCGTTTCCACCAAGTTCTGTACGGCTGTAAACATCAGTTGGTATTCAACTACTGATTCAAACTAACTTTTTCATTGTTTCCTCCGATTTTCAAAAAGAGAAAACTATCATTATTTACTCAATGCTGCAAAAATTACAAGCGTTATCTCAACTTCATGACTCAAATATAACAGATCAAATCCTTATGTTACGAAATCCAAGAAAATTTGAAAGAATCATCACAAAATTCCTCGACGAATCTAATTAATTAACCTGTAGGGAATTAATCCAATCTAATCTAATCTGATATTAAATCGGTTATAGGTAAGCAAACGAGCCCGAAATAAATGCCACACTGGACTCCATGAACACCAACACTATCCACAGTACCACCAGAATTCCAAATTCAAAAATTCAAAAATTCAAACACACACACACACACACACACACACACACCACAAACACGTTTAATCGTAATATTCAAAATTCACCAGCTCATCATCCCAAATTACATTGCACAAAGCCACAAACTATTCCGATTTAAACAGATCGCAAATCTCAAAATCGAAATCAAGCATACAATCAATTCCATATGATATTATAGAACATATGATCCTTAATCATCAGTCAATTTCGGAAATTAAAAGCGAAAAAGATATGAATATAGAAATATATATAACGATATGTAAATACAACAAAGTGGTAAACATATTAGAGTGGCGGACCTGTTGGAGGAGATTGGAGAGGAGCCCAAAAAGCTGCGCATCGGCGGCTGCCGACGGCGTTGGTGATTTTCCTCCGTCTGCCATTCTTTTTTTCCGATGGGTACCAAACGCGGTCTTGGTAGATTTTCCTTACCTATTTTATTATATATATAATTTTTTTTAATTTCATCGTCTTTCATTAACATTTAGGATAAATTATGGTCAAACCCCTAAAGTAAGGTCAAATTATGAAAACTCCCATCATATTTTAGGTAATTACAATCACCCTTCAACTACGAATTTTCTTACACGTCCACCCTTCCGGTGTCAAATTTAGTGGAATCTTCTAGTTTATGTGTAATATTCTTCAATTTGTGCACATTTTACCCCATTCGAGCTCCACATTTTAAAATGAGATGATCATATATACGACGTGTCTCTTAGCTTGTAAATAACAGATTGTGGTGCATCAGAAACTTTATTTTGCATAAAACGAGTACAACTAGAGAATATATTTCACAAAATCTAGAAGATTTTGTTTAATTTGACGTCAAAATGGTGGCTATGTAAGAAAATTCATAATTAATGGGTGATTGTAATTTTTTTTTTTTTTTTTTTTTTGAGAGTCAAAATAAACTTCATTTATAAAGCCAAATCGGCAGAAATAATAGAACGTATACTATCAGGTAACACTAACGTGTCATAAGTTTCATTTTTCGATAATCTTGCGATCTCATGCGCCGCCTTGTTGCCTTCCCGAACAATATGCTGGGCTCTGAACACCGTTAGCGTAGAACCTATTCGGATAATGTCACTAACAATCGTGCCATAGTCTGCGTTGCAATTTGATTCTCCGACAGCGGCGATGACAACACTCGAGTCCCCTTCAAGTACAATCCTCTGCCAATTGTTATCTCGAGCTAGTTCAATCGCCATTAAAGCTGCTTTAGCTTCAGCCGCGGTTGGTTCAAGATGTTGAGTAATGCATTTTGTACGCCAACCAATACACTCTCCGGACTCCGACCGAGCTATCACTCCAAGACCGCACACTCCATCGACGGCATTGACAGAGGCGTCAAAATTCAGCTTCACCAAATCTGCCTCTGGTGGTTGCCAACGAACTTCCTTCCTAATTCTTCTAGTATTTGGAGACAATACTTCGGTTGTGGCCGTTTGGAGATCGTTCCACATTTTGTTCATTAAGAATATAATTGTCCCCGGGTCTGGAACCTTCCCCTCGAACATACATTTGTTCCTTGCATTCCAGATTGCCCAACATAACAATACACATCGATCAATAATCATGGATCAGATTTACATTTTATCTCGCGCAACCAGTCACGGAAATCGGATATCGCCGTATGGTAGACCGAGAATGGGACCTGAGAAAGAGCCCATACCTGACGAGATAATGGACATGCATAGAAACAGTGCATCACATTTTCTTCTCTCTCATTACAAAAAACACACCGATCATCAACCAAGACTCTTCGCTTAAGTAGGTTAGACCGGGTAGGTAATAGATTTTTGCATGCCCGCCATAAAAATATCTTAACCTTATTCGGAAGGTGTAACCTCCATATCCATTTCCACTCTCCATGTCGTTGGGTATTTGAACTATTACTTACTCTCCCATCGATGTCAGCTTTAATTCTTGTTGCAAGATGGTAGGCACTGCGAACTGAAAAGACCCCATTCCGGTTGTAGTGCCAGATATAACGATCATCATTAGAATTACTGCCAAGGGGAATAGAGAGGATGGATTTCCTATCTTCTTCGAAAAAAACTTCACGAATAAGTGTTGCATTCCACTGCCCGGTATCTTCATCAATAAGCTCGTTAACGGATAAATCCGACGGAAGATCTCCTCTGGGGGTAAATATTTGAAATGTATTCTCTCGTGGTAGCCATCTATCTCCCCAAACCTTAATCGACTTACCGTTACCCACGCGCCATCTGATGCCCGCCACAAATAATTCTTTCGAGCTCCATATGCTTCTCCATGTGTAGGAAGGGTTTGGACCCAGAGAAGCCCCTAGCACATTTGATGTTGGAAAATATCTAGCCTTGAATAAATTACCCAAGAGGCTATTTGGATTTTCTAGCAACCTCCATAATTGTTTCGCTAGAAGTGCCTCGTTGAATAATTCTAAATCTCTAAAACCCAGACCGCCTGTGTCTTTACTATCGCACATAGTCTTCCATTTAATCCAGTGGACTCCTTTTCCTTTAGAATCCTCCCACCAATATTTAGCCATATGGCTCTCCACTTCCTTGCAAAAGTAGTCGGGTAATCTGAAGCAGCTCATAGCAAACGATGGAATAGCTTGAATAACTGATTTTAACAAGATTTCTTTACCTCCCCTCGAGATCCATTGTTCATTCCAACCCTTTAGACGCGAGAGAACTCTGTCCCGAATGTTGGCAAAGACCTCTCGCTTGGATTTGCCGATAATAGATGGTAAACCGAGGTATTTACCATGTTTCTCCACTATCTCCATGGGAAGAATAACACTGACCATATCTACCACCTGTCTCCGTGTACTTTTGCTAAAGGCAATACTCGATTTCTGAAAATTAACAACTTGTCCCGACGCTACTTCATAAGTCTTGAGAACCCGTTTGACGCTCTCAGCTGATTGAGTACTTGCTCTGCAGAAGATCATTGTATCATCAGCAAAAAAGTAGATGTGAGACCTTAGGAGCTCCTCGGCACACTGAGAGACCCTTGAGATTTCCTCTATTCTCCTCTCGGCGGAATAAAGCACTCAATGCTTCGGCACAAAAAAGGAACATATATGGTGAGAGAGGGTCTCCTTGTCGTAACCCCCTACCCGGTGTAAGAGAGCCAAAGGCGCCACCATTAAGAACAAATGAGTAAGTCACTGTGGACACACACTTCATGATAAGCTCGACTACTCGAACATCAAGCCCCAACTTTAGCATCACCTTTTGTAGGAATTTCCACTCTATACGGTCGTAGGCTTTACTCATGTCGAGTTTTATCGCCATATGTTCTCCCTTGCTACGCTTCATATAGTGAGTGACTTCGTAGGCTATAAGGATATTGTCTGTGATTAGCCTCGATGGGACGAAGGCAGATTGAGAATCTGAGATTATTCGGTGCATGAAAGGTTTCAATCGATTGATAATTGCCTTAGATGCAATTTTATACACGACATTGCATAGGCTAATCGGGCGGAAATGAGCCATAGTTTCTGGTTTAGAGCACTTGGGAATAAGAACAATCTGCGTGAAATTACCCGTTGAGGGAAATTCTTTATGGTTCAGCAGCCTCAAAACCCATTTGGTGACGTCATTCCCTACAATTCTCCAGAATCTTTGGTAGAAGATAACGGGAAATCCGTCAGGGCCTGGGGATTTTAATGGGTGCATACCTTCAAGAGCTCTCCTAATCTCCTCTGCCGTATAATCCCTAGTTAACTCGTAATTAATTTCCGGGCCAACTCTCGACTCAACAGACTCTAGCACTTCATTTAGCTCTTCATCTGATGGGTTACTAGATGTGAAAATATCTCTAAAGTACTCCAAAACTATGCTCTCCATATCATCATCCTTTTCGCGCCAAACCCTAGCCCGGTCCCGAAGACCCGATATAGTATTCACCTTCCTTCTCGACGAGGCTTTAGCATGAAAATATTTTGTATTCTTATCCCCCTCCCGCATCCATTGAGTTTTAGCTCTTTGACGCCACATCATTTCCTCTTTATCGAGCAACTCCTCCAATTCGGTAGATAATTCTCGAAAACGCAGTACAGATTCCTCTGTAAGTATCTGTTTCTTCAAGTTCAGAAGTTGATCTTTTAATATAGAAATCTGTTTGGTGACTCCTTTAAACGAATGGCTGCTCCAATTAATAAGCCCCCGCTTACATTGTTCCAGTTGAGTCCATAGTGATACGCGTAAAACCTACGTATAAATAACCGCAAGTGTACAGTATCGCGTTTTGTAGAATAGTGAATTCCAGATATCGATCCACAGGGAATTAAGTTCCTAAATCTACCAAGTACCGTAATTATACTATCCTAAACTCTATCTAGACGAAGGAAATAATGGGGGATGAAATGAAGCAAAAAGGAAACAAAAATAAAAACAACGGTCCGCCAGTATAATCGAGGAATTCCGACGTGTGATGGCTTCTAGGGTAAAATTCACCAGTGTACTATCGATAAAGATCTACAAATCCGAATCTAATGTCAATTCTATGTTCGTTAACCCAGACACTAAAGTACCCTAACCCCCGTCTCCAGTGTAGTTAGAGTCTACCCACAGGTCCGACGTCTCCGTTCAGAACCTGATATTAAGAGAGCATTTAGGTCAAGTCCTTAAGGGCTACCCGAGGTGCATCACGTCTCCGTTTCCACAACCCGAGCTATGTTTTCCTAAAATCAAACGAGAAATCCTCTCTCGAGTTCATTCCCATTTAGAATCAATTCAACTGTTGGCCAAACAATCGAAAGCATTTAATACAGGAAAACATAAACAGAATCAAAGAACGACAAATAGATCACAGATCTGGAGATCAAAATCAATATATACAAGGTTTCATTTCCCCCTAAAAGGAAATGCTTAGTTCATTACAAACATAGCATCCAAATGAAGACTACGAGAATCATAAC